CAGCTATAGTGAGTCTTTTTCTGTCCAGTCAGCCGGCTCCCAAATAACAACCCGGAGACTTCTTATTATGAAAGCTCAGTCTATAGCTTAGGCTTGTTCCTGTTAATCTAAATTCTGTTGCTTTGCTCATTACCTCATCTTTAGACTGCCCATGCTGCTTCCTCCGAGTCTGGCTCATGACTTTACCTTCCCAAAGTCCTATCTGTCCTCAGAAGTCCTGCCTAACCTCTTCCTAGCTGTTGACGGTTCAGCTTTTTATTATACCAATCACAGCAATACATTTTCACACAGCGTATAACTATCACATAACAAGCAGTGACGAGCAGTAGTGGGTGCATCTCCTTAGCATGGTGTACTCTGGGTAATTCTTTATCTTACTGGTTGTTTAAGCTGAATTCCAATAGCATTTGGGACTTCAGTGCTAGGGTCACACTCTCAGTAGGTAGGACTTGATAAGTCACCTATGGTGTGATCATTTTGGAAGAAGTTGAGGTTTAATGAGAGATGAATGAAATGTCCCACATTGTCTCAGGCATTCAGATTTTTGGTTCCAAGATGGTGGCATTGTTTGGGGAAGTTTGGGAAGTGTGGCAGTGTTGGAGAATGGCCCTGGGGGCAGGCTTTGAGAGGCTGCTTGGGTTCCTGCTTGCAGTTCAAGACATGACCCTTTGGAACTATACGTGCAAATAAACTTTTTTCTATAAATTACCTTGGTCATGGTATTTTTATCACAGCAATAAAAAATGCAAAGGTAGAAGTCACCCACCTTCCTTCTCTGACCTCCACATGCATGTGAACCCTCACATATGTGGCAGATACACAACACACATGAAGAAAAAAATTGCAGTCCTCTTGCTTTTGCCTCCTGAGTGCTTAGATTGTAGGCATGCACTATTCACGCCCAAGTCTGACCCACAAAATCTTATCAGAACTCTGGACACTCCTGCCTGTGCTGGCAGTTTTATGTAAACTTGACACAAGCTAGAGTCATTTTAGGAAGAAGGAACCTCAGTTGAGAAAGTGCCCCCACCAGATTGGCCTGTGAGCAACCTATGGTGCTTTTTCTTGATCGATGTAGAAGGGCCCACTCACAGTTGGCACTGTGGGTGCTGAATTGATGGTCGTGTGTGCAAAAAGAAAACAGGCTGAACAAGCCATGGGGAGCAAGCCAATAAGCATCTTTCCTCCATGGCCTCCAAACAGTTTCTCTTAGGTTCTTCTCTTGAGTTTGCCCCTGAGTTCTCTGGATTATGAGCTATGAGCTGTAAAATGAAATAAAGCCTTTCCTCCCAAGTTCCTTGTGGCTATGGTATCTTATCAGAGCAATAGAAACAGTAAGATACTGCCCTTTTCACTTTGTCATTACCTTAAACTTGTTCCTCCTTTCAACTGAGACTTGCAACCCAGCTCCCAGTCTCCTTGGTTTTGTTTCTAGCTTCCTTCTCTATATAATTTAGAGTCCACATTTCATCACTTCAGCCACACCCTTTTTTGGTTTGTTTTTGGTTTCAAGACAGAGTTTCTGTATAGCCCTGGCTGTCCTGGAACTCACTTTGTAGACCAGGCTGGCCTCAAACTCAGAGATCTGCCTGCCTTTGCCTCCCCAGTGCTGGGTCTAAAAGCATCTACCTCCACTTCCTGGAATGAGTTCTTTTTTTAAAAGTAATTTACTTAAATTTATTTTATGTGCATTGGTGTGAAGGTGTCAGATCCCCTGGCACTGGAGTTACAGACAGTTGTGAGCTGCCATGTGGGTGCTGAGAAATGAACCAGGTTCTCTGGAACAGCCAGTACTCTTAACCGCTGAGCCATCTCTCCAGCCCTGAGTTCTTGATTCTTGATGGTTTCATTGAAGCTGTCAAGCAAAACTGTAACTTTGAATTGAATCAGTGTTCAAGATGCTAAAAGAATCTCAACACTAAATGTTTCTATAAATTGTGTTTTCAAAACTCTGTCTCTAAGTCCTGCCATGAGAATTTGCTCATTGTCCAAACCACCTCCTAGCCATTCTCTATAACACCTTCTCAAACATTGGATATGAATGTATGGGTGTGTGTACAAGTATGTGGAGGCCAGAGGTCAACTATGCTGTCTCACTGGAACCTGGAGCTCACTGATGTTTGGCCAAGTGAGCTCCAGGGGTTTCCCTGCTTGTGCTTCCCTAGCCCTGAGGTTACAGACAGTTGTGAGCCACCATGTGGGTGCTAGGAGCCACTCCAATGAGTAAGAATGCAGTGGAGAGATGGGAGAGAGAGAAGCAGAGAGGCTTGGGCACTATGAAGATGCAGAACTGGAGGCCAGAGGCAGTGAGAAACAGCCTGATGGGAAAGGCCTGTACTACCACCTGAGGCCATGGCAAGCAATGTCTGGGCCTCTGCTGCCGCAGAGGGCCATGTTTGAGTTCGTGGCCCTACTGTTGCTGGAGTCTGCTGATGTTGATATAACAAGGCTTGTGTTACCACCAAAGGCTATCTGGATGTCAGTGGTCTGGGCTGCTGTCTGAAGCCTTGGTGACATCCCAGAGCCTTGTGGAGATGGCCCTGTCCCTGGCCTAGGCAGTGAGGGAGAGCTGGCACTGGTGGTATGGGCACAGGAGAGCTAGTGGGCTATTAACTCAGTTACCACCCCAGGCATTGAGTTGGCCCACCCCAATATCTATTCCATCTGTGTGCTGTTGGAACTGGTGTAGGGGCTGGTCTTGCAGAACCATAGCTGCAGGATAAGATCTCCCATGACTCGGCAACAGCAGGATATCTGAGAGGAGTCTTGGTGGGGGTCCAGTACTGATGGTGTAGCAGAATCCACAGGTCTTGAACCAGACCAACAATTCACTGCAATGAACATTTGTAACTAAAGATGTTTGGATAGAAGGGTATACTGTGTGACATACCGCAGCTTCCAATGCCACTATGACAATGGAACGGATATGTGATGGGAGAGGTGAGAGACAGGAGCAGAGTGGTTCACAGCAGAACTAGACAAGTGACAGCTGGGGTGTGAGAGAGAAGGCCTGCCCAGAGGGGTCAGTGAGATTTTTTTTAAAAAATGTTTTGGGGGAGAAGTTTACAAGGGTGAAGGGCAAATATGGAAAGACTGGAAAATGAGTGGGAATGGGGTCCATGATATGAAATTCCTAAAGAATCAATTTTTAAAAATTACGTGTTTTTTTTGTTTTTTTTTGTTTGTTTGTTTTTTTTATGACGCACATAGCTGTGACTCAGAATTTGAGAAGTAGGAGGATTTCGATTTTGAGGCCAGCCTAGGATACATACCGAAACCCTAGACTCCATATTAAAAGAACAAAAAAGGGCAAAATTGGAAAGGCAGAATTATCATAGGGCTGAAGTAAAGAAATTGCCAGTATGGTGGCACCTGACCTTAATCCCAGCACTCAGGAAGCAGAGGCAGGTGGATCTCTGTGAGTTTGAGGCCAGCCTGGTCTACAGAGTGAGTTCCAGGACAGCCAGGGTTACACAGAGAAACCCTGTTTCAAAAATAAAAAATACCTTGACCCTGAGAATCCAGAGACAATAAGTTGTTTTAGTTAATTTATGTGTTTGCCTACTTGAGTTTATGTGCCTCGAATTTGTACAGGAGTCTGTGGAGGCCAGAAGAGGGCATCAGATGCCCTGGAACTGAATCACAGGTGCTTGTGAGCCACCATGTGGGTGCTGGGAACCAAACCCTGGTTCCCTCCAAGAGCAGCAAGCACTCTTCATCACTGAGCCATTTCTCCAGCTTTAACTGTTTGAAATAGAAATAAAATTCAGAGCCAGGCAGTGGAGACAAACACTTTTATTCCCAGAACCCCGGAGGCAGAGGCAGGCACATCTGTGAGTTTGGGGCCAGCCTGGTCTACAAAGTGAGTTTCAGGACAACCAGGGCCGACAGAGAAACTCTATCAAAAACAACAACAACAACAAAACAAACAAACAAAAAAACCAGATGTATGAGGTTAGGGAGAGGGCTCAATGGTAAGATGGCTTCCTTTGCCAGCATGAAGACCTGAGTTAAAAAACCCCAGTAGCTATGCAAAAAAAGCAAAAAGCATGGCTACATATGCTTGTAACCACAGAATTGGTGACAGAGATAAATGGATCCAGAGGATGGCCAATCATACTAGCCAAAAGGTCAAGCTTCCATTTCATTAGCAAACTCTGTCTCAAGGCTATACAGAAGAGTAAAAGGAAGACACCCAGAGTCCTACTCTGGACTCTGCATACATGGGCACATGTGTCTACACACATGCTTCAACCAGAGGGGAGCAGCAGACTTGCAAGAGACTAGTTAGCCGATAGAGGGCTGTGCTAAGCAGGAATGGCAGTGGGTGCACAGTTGTGAGTGCATTCTGTAAGGCTAATTTCGTGTACAAGAATGTGCACCTGTGTTCATTGGACGTTCTCCATTCCTCCCTGCATTGTTCCTTTGAGGCAGGTCTTACTGAGTCTGAAGCTTGCATTCCTGGAATAGGCTGGAAGTCAGCAAGCCCCAGTAATCCTCTTGTGCCCACCTTATTCAGTGCTGGGACTGCACCTGGCTTTGTTTGATTTTTTTTTTCCAAGACAGAGTTTCTCTGTATTGGATTTCTTTTTCAAGACAGGGTTTCTATGTGTATCTCTGGCTGTCCTGGAACTCGCTTTGTAGGCCAGGGTGGCCTTGAACTCAGAGATCCATTTGGCACAAGGCTTTTTTGTAGGTACTGGGAGTGAACTCCAGTCTTCATGTTTGCAGAGCAAATGATCTTAACTCCCTAGACATCTCTCTAGACCTTTCAAGTGCATTAAGAATGAGAAAAAAGCAGGGTGTTGGTGGTTCATGCCTTTAATCCCAGCACTCGGGAGGTAGAGGCAGGCGGATTTCTGTGAGTTCGAGGCCAGCCTGGTCTCCAAAGCAAGTGCCAGGATAGGCTCCAAAGCTACACAGAGAAACCCTGTCTCAAAAAACAAAAGAAGAAAAAAGGAATGAGAAATAATTTTTTTGTTGTTTTTTTGAGACAGGGTTCCTCTGTAGTTTTGAAGCCTGTCCATGAACTTGCTCTGTAGATCAGGCTGGCCTAGAACTCACAGAGATCCACCTGTCTATGCCTCCTGAGTGCTGAGATCAAAGGCATGTGCTACCACTACCCAGCTAGGAATGAGAAATTTAGGTTGAAGAGACAGGATGTAGGCACCAAGGCCGATGGTGCTGCCATGGCATTTTGATGTCTACATTCAGGACAACATGGAAGTCTGGGAGAAGGAAATAGTTCAATTTTGGATATGAGGTACAGAAAGAAGATGTGTTTGTTATATTTAGTGAGCAAATATGTACTATCTTGAACTCTAATAAGTATCTGGGATGGGATGGGCATTGGTGGCGCACACCTTTAATCCCAGCACTCAGGAGGCAGAGGCAGGCAGATCTCTGTGAGTTCAAGGCCAGCCTGGTCTCCAGAGCAAGTGCCAGGATAGGCTTCAAAGCTACACAGAGACATCCTGTCTTGAACTCCCCCCCCAAAAAAAAAGTATCTGGGATGGAACTGACACAAGGAGCCGCAGCATAAATGTGATAACTGAAGCCTTGGGAGTGTGTGAGATCCCTAAGGAGGATGTGAAAGTCTGAGGAAATCAGGCTTGTGACAGAATTTTGGGGATATGATTAAGAGACAAAGAGATGGAGGGGTTGGGAGAATGTGGGTTAACGGTAGAGTGCTGGCCTAGCATACAGAAGGCCCTGGACTTAATCAGCAGTGAAAACAGAACAACACTGAAGGGTGGGAAATGATGATGGTAGAAAACAAGAATATTGCCGATTATGCAAAACAAGAATGCAGCTCAAGACTGAATTCTTAGAATATGCTTCAATACCTTGCAGTCTGTATACACATGTCTCTCATGCTGGACCCTAGTGTATTCTGCACATGGTACATAGTAAAATAAAGGGACCACAGGGGTGCTCACCAAATTGCATAAAGTGCCTTTTCTAGTGAATAAGTTCTAAACTGTACTTATTTCAAGCTTTGTGGCCGATGATAAAAGGGGTATGGAACTTGGGACCTTGGAAGTTCTGTAACTAAGACATGGAAGTAACAACAGCTAGTCAAGACAAAAAGAATGTTCCTTTCTTTCCCCTTCCAAGTTCTTAGTGAAGGGCCAAGCCCAGGATCCCAGACTTGTGTGACTAGGTAAACTTTAGGAGACTAACTCCACTTTGGTACCTTCCCTTCAGTGGCGCAAGGTGGCTTCTCAGCAGACAGGCTTCTAAGTAGCAAAGCTCCCCACTACGCAAGCCTAACATAATGGGAAAGGGAGACACCTTGGAAACAGCATCACTTACCCCAGCCTATCGCTCTGTCATGGAGGAGTATGGTTATGAGGTGGGCAAGATCATTGGTCATGGCTCCTATGGAACCGTGTATGAGGCTTACTACACAAAGCAGAAGGTCATGGTGGCTGTCAAGATCATCTCAAAGAAGAAGGCCTCTGATGACTATCTTAACAAGTTCCTACCGCGTGAGATACAGGTCAGAAAGGGAGCTGAAAGAGGGAACTGAGGCTTGTTAATAAGCTACTTGAGGTATCTTAGGGGTATAACTATATATATATATATATATATATATATATATATATATATATATTATCCTCTTTCATATGTACAAATATTCAGCCACTATCAATCCCCTGCCAAGTTAAAATGCAAAATGGAATTTACCCAGACACCAGCTGATTCTGTTGCAACATTGTGAGTAGCAATGGGAGAGTAGAGAAAGGCCAGCACAGTCAGAGTTGGCCAGGTTTGATGGTTCCCTCAGGTTTGATGGTTCCCTCTTTTGGGATCAGGTAATGAAAGTCTTACGGCACAAGTACCTCATCAACTTCTATCAGGCCATTGAGACCACATCAAGAGTTTACATCATTCTGGAGTTGGCTCAGGGCGGTGATGTCCTCGAGTGGATCCAGCGATATGGAGCCTGCTCCGAGACCCTTGCTGGCAAGTGGTTCTCCCAGATGGCCTTGGGCATCGCCTACCTGCACAGCAAGGGCATTGTGCACCGGTGAGGATAGTCACCAGACCAGGCTTTGGGATCTCACAGGGGTTTTATGCATATTGCCCATTTTCTGCTCTTTTCTCTTGACATCTCTCAATATCTAGGTCCATTTGTTCACCATATTGTAATCATCTGGTCGAGGACACTTGTATCCACTGTGTGAGAGCACTTTATACACAATGGTGAACTAGTGGTCCTCAGGTACCATCCTCCCTTCCTTCTGGGCTCTGTTCACAACTTCACTCCATGACTTTGCAACTTTTTTTTTTTTTGAGATGGGGTTTCTCTACATAGCCCTGGTTGTCCTGGAACTCGCTCTGTAGACTATAAACTCAGAGATCCGCCTGCCTCTGCCTCCCCAGTGCTGGGATTAAAGGCGTGTGCCACCACTGCCTGCCCCCTCTGTACTTCTCAGACGTCTCCCATCTCTTCTGTCCTCAGTTCTAGTCTCTGGCTGCTCTCCTTTCAGCTCCCGGTCTAACACTAAGCCCTCTCCTCAGCCTGACCCCCAGCCTTTCTGCTGCTGGTAGGGACTTAAAGTTGGAGAACCTGTTGCTGGACAAGCGGGAGAACGTGAAGATATCGGACTTTGGCTTCTCCAAGATGGTGATGGTGCCTTCTAACCAGCCTGTGCGTAGTAGCCCTTCTTACCTTCAAATGAGCGGCCTTTCCCACCTCAGCCAGACCTACTGTGGCAGCTTTGCTTATGCCTGCCCAGAAATCTTGCTGGGCTTGCCCTACAACCCCTTCCTGTCTGACACCTGGAGCATGGGCGTCATCCTCTACACTCTAGTGGTCGCACATCTGCCCTTCGATGACACCAACCTCAAGAAGCTGCTGAGAGAGACCCAGAAGGAGGTCATGTTCCCAACTAACCTCAGTGTCTCCCTGGAGTGCAAGGTGCTGGCTCCCCCAGGAGGGCTGAGGCCTTAGGGATGACTCATGGGGGGGCAATAAATACCAAATTTAGGCCTCCCAACTCCCACCCCCCTGGGGGGAGCTTTTCTCATGCTAGAGCATCTCTAGTTCCTATCCAAAATGGTGGGGAGGACTTAAGAGGGTCCAACTTCAAACCTTAAATATGCTTGATAATTAGGTTCCAGCATTGATCCCTTTAGGGCAGAAGGGATCATGAAAAGATCTCTTCTCTTTTCTTGCAGGGCTCCAGCATAAAACCAGGGCCCCAGACCCTTTCACCAGAGTAGTGTGATGGGCTATCCTGTTTCTTTCTTAGGTCCAGCTGCTCACTGCCTGTGTGGCCCAAAGTGGGGGCACGCTCAGCCAAGCCCTCTCTCTCCCCTGCCCTAGAACCTGATCTTCCAGATGCTACGCCAAGCTGCCAAGCGTGCCAACATCCTGGATGTCCTCAAGGACCCCTGGATGCTCAAGTTCCAGTCTGAGCAACCCACGAATGAAATCAGGATGCTCGAGGCCATGTGTCAGCCCACCACCAGCACCACTAATCGTCACAAATCCTTGGAAGTCACAGTTTGAAAATGGCTGAGGTCGGGGGCAAAGGAGAAAAGCAGGAGGGTCTGAGGAAAATCTTTTATATAAAAATAAATCTAATTAGTTTCATCATGTAGGGTCAAAGACGTGCTTTCCTCAAGAAAGTCTTGATGGAGAACATACTGAGGGTAGATTTCTGCCCAAAGCCTGGAACCTGCACTCTTGACACATGTGCGAGTTAATGAAATTGACTTAGGGAAGCTTTACTATGCCAACTGAGTTTGTGGCTCTTATTACAGATTTTTGTTCTCTAATGTTCTAGCAGCAGATGGGACAAGGAAGGAAAAGCCTTGGTTTTTCTGTTTGACTGGCTCTGCCCATTCACAGTTCAAAACAATAGCATTGTTCTTTCTGTTTTGTGTTTGCTCCCAACTTGGGAAAAAGTTTTAATTGGAAAGAGAAGCTGACAGAGGAACAGGACAGGCCTGTTTCTAGATGCTCACCCTGCCTGTTGACATGACACACAAAAACATTAGGGCTTACTTAGTGTCTTGGTGCACTTTCCCTCCAGTGTAACTTTAACCACTACTGAAAGACCCAGGGCTCCCAAATACTGAAGTAACAGAGTTTAAGCTAAGCCGTGTGAACTGTGAGTTCTGGATAAAGGAAAGATACTTGCCCCTGCAGAAGAAAAATGAGGCTGTCTTGTTGGAGGTATGACTGAGCCAAAGCAAAGCAATGAGAAAGACTCAGGTTGGCTCTTCATGACCTGATTTTCTCTCTTCTCTCCCCTTCCTTCCTCCTTCCCTCCTTCCCCCTCCTTCAGAATCCTAGAACTCCCTCTACAGAGGGAGTTCTAGCCTCAAACTCATGATCCTTGTGCTTTAGCCTCCAGAGTACTGGGATTACAGGCTGGCTATCAACATGTTTCTAATATAATTTCCCCCTCTTCCCACTTGTTCTTTCCTTTCTTTCTTTCTTTCTTTCTTTCTTTCTTTCTTTCTTCCTTCTTCCTTCCTTCCTTCCTTTTCTTTTTTTAGACACAGGGCTGTGCAGCCCTGGCTGGACTGAACTCAGATCTGCCTGCTATTGCCTCTTTGGGTGCTGAGGTTAAAAGCATATGCCACCACACCTAATATTGATAGCAATTTCTTAACCTTAGACACTAGGCAACTCCATGACAAATCAAATGGAAAGGTAAAACTGCCCAGAACACAGTCTGAGTTACTGGAAATGGCCATTTGTTTTCACAACTCCCCTTCCTTACTCATTATTTTTAACTACTTAAAATAAAGCTCTGAGAACCAGAAGGAAGGATCTCAGGCATAGACAAGACATACAGACATTAGGGATCCACTACCCAGTTTTACTGGGGACAAAAAGCAGTCTTCTCATACCATAAAAGAAGGGAGCCTAGAGGCTCCTTCTGCAGCAAGATCCTTCTTCAAAGATCAGCCAAAGAGGGTAGAACAATGGGCCCTCCTCAGACAAGTCACACTGCCATCGCAGCAGGAATCCCAGAGCTATACTCCCATAGCTCTCAGTGTTTTGCCCTTAAGGATAGCAGCAGGAAGACAACCCAAACTCTCAGGATACCCAGTCTGCCAAGTGCTTTAATGCTGCTGCTTCTTCTTGTTCTTCTTCTTCTTCTTGTTCTTCTTGTTCTTCTTGTTCTTGTTCTTCTTGTTCTTGTTCTTCTTCTTCTTCTTCTTCTTCTTCTTCTTCTTCTTCTTCTTCTTCCTCTTCCTCCCTCTTCCTCTTCTTCTTCTCCTTTTTTTTTTTTTGTTTTTTGTTTTTTTTGTTTTTTTGAGACAGGGTTTCTCTGTGTAGCTTTGGAGCCTATCCTGGCACTCGCGCTGGAGACAGGCTGGCCTCGAACTCACAGAGAGCCACTTGCCTCTGCCTCCCGAGTGCTGGGATTAAAGGCATGCACCACTAACGCCTGGTGCTTTAGTGCTTCTTTGTTTGGTTCCCAGCACCCACATGAGACACCTCACAACTGCCTGTTAACTCCATCTCTGGGGGATCCGATATCTTCCTCTGATTTCTGTGGACACCCCCACACATACTGCATAAACACACACAGACATATACATTTACACTCATAAACAAAAACCCTCAGAAGACAGAGAGGTAGGCAGATTTCTGTCAGTTTGAGGTTGAACACATCTACATAGGAAGTTCTAGGTAAGCCTGGGTTACACAGTCCATGTTGACCCCCCCCTCTTACACACACACACACACACACACACACACACTACACAAACCAAAATCAAAAAGAAGACTTTCTTCATGCCTTGGGCAGTGAGGTCCATGGTACAAAGCACTTCTGCATTGGTGGTGGCATTCCCAATGGCCTCTGGCTGAACTTCCAGGGTGGGTAACATCCATCAGTTTGTGTCAGCTTCTGTTCTAACCTTTCTTCCCACTCCCTGAGCATCAGAGTCAGAAGCACCTGCTTCCCCCTGAACACTCCCTAGCAGCCATTACTCTTTGCTTATTCTTGGTCCCATGCTTTTTGGCTGTTTGTAGATTCCTATTGAATTTTCTGCTCCAGAAACTCCTGTTTGATCAGAATTTCTTCTTTCTCCTTCAGTTTCTATATTGCTTCTTCAAGAGTTAGACTCCTCTCTTCCCTCAAGAGCCCAATGGAGCAGACCCATATTGTGTGAAAGGAAAATATTAGCCACCATCAGCGAATATGCAGTGTATGCTAGGCATTACCCAAACCGCTCATCTTTAAGTGAGTCTCTACAATCGATGTATTGGTATCACTTGAAAAGTAAGAAAACAAGCACCAGATGTAAATGGTTTTTGTTTAAAGTCATAATTAGTAGATTAAGTAGTAATCAAAACATTGTGCTGGGTATGTTGGAACATATATCTATTATCCCAGCATTTGGGAGGCTGAGGCAGGAGGATTGCTGCAAGTTTGAGGCCAGCCTGGACTACATGAGCTCAGGTCAGCTAAGGCTACATAAAGCAAGAACCTGTCTCAAAAGATAAAAGGAACAATCAGACTACTAAGCTTCATTTCAAGTCACATTTTATGACCTTTGTCCCAGTTGCTGTGTTAGGAGATGTCAAAGGCCCTGCTCTACATGCTCTAACTAAAGAAGTACAAAGGACTGGGGTGCAAGGAAGAGAATGTGACTTCAATATCTTCCTCCATCTTCTAGATCTGAGTGATAACCTTTGCAAATAAAAGCCTGGTGACCTCTGCCTGCTTAAAACTCTCCCATACTCTCTTCATTGTCAACAGGATAAAAATTTAAAAATTCTTCTGGCATATCCAAGGTTCTGGATGATCTGCTTACCCCTCCATCAATGTGTCTACATTCTGTCCTTTTTATTCCTCACATGCCACAAACTCAGAGTGGCCAGAAGTTCAATTTTTCACTAAACTATTGTACTCCTGCTTCTGTTTCTTGAAGGCTCCTTCGCCGAGTTACCTCAGGCTACACCTGGCAAATGATTAGCCTTATTGAACACTGTGTCCAGTGCCTACTTCTGTGCTGTCTTGGTTTGTCAGGCTTATCTCCATCACCGAGTTGCCACACTATACTGCCAAAGACTTTTTCTAGACACACCCACACCACCAGATAGGAGCTTAAAGAAGGTTGTCTTTCTTCTTCACTTCAGACCTCTTTTATCCATACCAAGTAAGCTACAATGCTTTAGAAAAGACTGGATGCAGTCACCAGGAAATCAGTTCCTCCAAGCCTGTGCCCTGGGAGCTAACAACTGCCACACCTTGCGCTCACATCCCCACTCAGTCCGGTTCAAGGCAGGCTGGGGCAAGGCGGTGGGACAACCTTCTGGCACCAAAGAATGCCGAGCTTGGTCAAGGACCGGGTTTTCTGCGCGGCCTTTAATCCCAGCACTCGGGAGGCAGAGGCAGGCAGATCTCTGTGAGTTCAAGACCAGCCTGGTGTACAAGAGCTAGTTCCAGGACAGCCTCCAGAGCCACAGAGAAACCCTGTCTCAACACCCCCCCCCACACACACAAACACAAAAGACCAGGGCGGGACAGGGACAAGCGCTCGGGTTGGCTCACTCCTCTTAAAGTAGCCACATTACTCTCTACTACCAAAAAAGGCCAGCCCCAACTTTGTTCCCAAATAGTATTAGCTTTTATTCCCTACAAGGATATGACACCCTATTAGGTGAAGCAGTGAGGGGACTCGGGATGGGTTCCAACACCAGGGAACAACCTGGTGCAGGCTAAGCTTTCACACACTGGTCCCGACACCCTGGCCAGGGCCACCAAACCCAGTTTACACGTTAGAAAATGGAAACAACATATTCTGTGGGTAAAACGGACACTTTAATAAATTACAAATGCACCTGGCAAGGCTTTCTTGATTTCTTTTCGGTTTTACACTTCCGACGAGGCTCATCCATGGGGTTGGACCTCAGCGTCCAGCCTGGGCCTTTGCAAATGCCTCTAATCCTTGAGTTAGTGTTTGCAGAGTCATTCCATTCTGGATATGAATGCAGGTAACACCTGGAACAAAAAGTCACATTTTAGCAGGCTTTCAAGACTCCTGGTTATTACTCTCATCTGTTGTACACTAATCTACCGCACACTTACTTTGCTACCTCCTCCTAAGAACCCTTTCTCCTCACCCCCCACCCCACCCCATGATGACTCAGTACCAAGTGTGCCCACATCTATGATATTCCGTTTCTCATCATCAAAGAAGACCATCTGAGAGAAAGGAACTCCAGTCTTGTGGTGCAACCTGTGAAAGACAGGGCATGGGTAACCCGGTTGGCGAGGTAACTCACCTGACTTCCTTCCTCTCTGGGTACTCCTTCTGCTCCCACGCTCAGCTGTCTGCCTACCTCTCAAAGTGTGCGACTTTGCTGCCTGGATAGATTTCCCGATGAACAAAATATTTGACAAGGTCAAAGAGCTCCAGTAGTTGGTTGGCCCCTTGTATCTCACCTGTCCTGAAAAAAAAAAAAAAGAAAAAAAAGTGCAATGAGTGGCGTTAGGAAAGTGCCAGAGATGTGGGCAAAATTAGGTATAAAGGGGTTGAGGGCCCGATTTCCTCAGTGTTTATTCAAGACCAGAGAGTATGAAATAGTTGGCCGACGTTTAATCATTTACAAGAACAGAAAGCATAGG